TATATATATATATATTTGGAATAAGATAACTATCTAAGTACTTAGATAATAGCCCACAATTATTGCAAATTGCGAATAAATAATTTAGGGAGATATTACGGTTCCGTTACGAAATTATTTTGTCGGAATTTGTAATCGTTAGATTCAGGGGCGAAACCATAATTTACAATTTACCTGGGCGAAAATTATAGTAGATATTAAATAAAAGTTAATATTAAATAAATTATTTTTTGAGTATTTTTACAACAAATATTTTTTAAAACATGTATTCATTTAATTATTTTTTTTTTTTTTGGTTTAAATTTAGTATGGACTTAAAAAAGTACTTCATCAAGACAACAAGAAAATAAAAATTATAAAGAGAGAAAAAGAACACTTATTAAGAATATAACTTGTTGAACAATTATTTCTTAAATTTTAAGGAACTATTTAATTTTGTCATAAAACCCCTCAAAATTGACATCAATGAGATGATTATTTAAACTTAAAATTGTTTGGTAATTTTATTTGATGTGATTATACCATATGTTTTAATTAGTTAGACTAACATTATAAAAATTATTCTATTTCAGTTTTAATTATATATATAATTAAAATTATATAATTTTTTAATATATATATATACCCACTCCTAGAAATCCTACCCGGGCTAAAGCCCAAGAAGGCTTGAACATGGCTCCGCCCTTGGTTAGATCAAGTATCTTCGATGATTATATGATGACTAACACTTATAAAATTAACGGAATGATTCCATAACGGAACCGTAAGCATTTCCCAAATAATATATAAGGCCAATAGTTTTTTTTAATTCCCAATGCATATTTTACTTTTTAGAAGGCCAATTTTACTTTTCTTTTGGAGCCCATATCTTTGATCAACCGGCCACTACTAACGTCGTTGTTTTAGCCTTCGAATCAGCATAATGATGTAGAGCGTAGTACGAATGGGAATAATATGAGATACTCTCTCAAGAAACGACGAACAGAAATTTCAATTCACAAATAATCTGCCCTATCTTCTGTTCGATACAGCATAAATAAGAAAAGAAAATAATAATAAGAATCCTACTCTTGCTAAACACTGCAAGTTATTAATTATCCTACCATAATAACTAAAATAAGTAAAGGAAATAAAGCTAAAAGATTGCTGAAAATAACAGGAAATAAATAGACTAGACCCTAAGACGGTCATATTTATTCAGATACGCAATGGCGGTCTCGTCTTCATCATCCTCCCCCGGTTGAGGAGGATTCGGCCTCGAATCCGAACCGGTCTCGTCTTCGTCAGAGTTATCCCCCACAAAAGGCACCAAGTGCTTGACATTGAACACATCCGACGTCCGAATATGGGAAGGAAGACGAAGCCGATAAGCATTCGGATTGATCTTCTCAATCACCTCCAAAGG